ATAGGATATTACTGAGGTGCACACCACTACTTAACATTTCATCCAATTCAATATCAACACATGGTATATTTACAGTACGACATAAATAAACATCAATATAATCCCCATCATGAAGGTCTTTGTAGAATTCTAATACATCAGCTTCATACTTAATAAATCGAAATGGTCCTTTTTTATTTACTCGACATACAAATTTCTCCACATCTAAGTACCCCATATCATTTGCCCATTTGTTGAATTGAATAACATGCAATTCATCAGTGTCAGCCGTTACAATAGAAGACCATGTTATACCATTTTCATACCTCATTAATGGGCCAGCTACCAGTTGTCCCTGATGGTGAAATTATAATTTCACAAGAACAGCCATACTGCCTTACTACGCCTATGAAAATAAGATAAGATAAGTCCAAATAAGTAAAATATTCAAAAGAAAGAGACAATATTGTTTGAAAAAGAACAAGTAAATGCAAGAAAACGACCCTAACTTTATTACTTTAAGAGACAAAATATCCCTAATTTTTTATCCCTATATGCCAAATAAGCGATGGAACCGACAAAATCCAGAGAAAAAATAAAAAATTAGTATGTTATTCCAAAAAGCCCTAATTTTAAACCCTAAATAACAAAAGAACCATTGCATGCATAAAAATATTATTCTACCATGACCAACTTCAATAACGAATAAAAATACAAGAAAACAACTAGAAATTTCGTGAAAAACAACAATCGGACCTTTAATGACTTCTATGTTTCTAGTGGAGGAGAAAGGGACGGTATACGATTGTATTAGATTCTTGTTTTGGGACGATTTTGAAAGAAAAAGGCATAACACAACCTTCAGATGATCTAATGGAATCCCGTTCACTCCATTTTGAGCAGACGAGTGAAAATGTTAGAGGGGAATTGAGAGAGACGACTAAAAAAATGAAAATGAAAATAGTGGTTTAGGGCAAAAATAAATGGGAAATATCGGTATTTAGTGGGTATTTCCGCCTAACACGTGCCTGGTATTTATTCGTTTATTGCTGACTGGGTTGCCATATTTGTGAAATTGTAATGCATGTAGATTGAGTCATAGGTCGGAGGTGTTTATTACTAGTTCACTTATGCTGAAGTTTAAGTGTTCATATGGGAATTTTGAAAGTTCATTTACCGGCATGACAATAGGGTACAAGTTTAAGTGGTCTGAAGGCCATTTTGCCTAACTAATACTTGTATTAGTAATACATGAATTAAAGAATCAGATGACCAAAAACCTTATGTTGATTTCAATTACCTATTGTATACTTAAAACAAAGTAAACATTTAACAAAAAATAATTTCTACATTACAACGTATAACTAATCCATGTATTACTAATTCTTATATAACTAATTTTTTCATAATTAATATGCATAACTAATTCTTGCATAACTGATCCCTACATAACTAATCCTTACTCCCTCCGGACCAATTTAAGTGATTTTTTGGCTCTTTTCACACACATTAAGAAATTCACCTTTTAGCATTAATTAACAATAAAATTGACCATATTAACCTTAACTTATTCATTGAAAATATAACAAACTACTCCTAGCTACTCCAAGGGCAACTTTGGAAAAAAAAAAGTTAATTCCTTCTAGATATCTGAAAAAATCAAATATTGTGGACCACCAAAGAAGCAAAAAAAATCACTTAAAATGAACCGGAGGGAATACATAACTAACCCCTATATTATTAATACATGCATAACTCTAACCATCAACCGAACGACTCCTTAATAGTTAAGCACACGCATGCGAGTTGGCAAAAGTAGTGTGTGTTAAATATATATCAAAAAAGTTTAATGTGTAAAAGATTGCTCTTAAAACTGTAATGTGTCAAACAAATTAATTTGCGTACAAGAGAAAGTACTAATGAATCAAGGATGAACCTACCTAAGAGCTTTTCTTTTTAAGAACTTTTTCTTTGGGCAAAAATTAAATGAAGCATAAGAGCAAACACTGACGAATGGTTAGGGGGACAGAGCTAACATAGTAGCTGGAGTTGGACTGTTGGATTTTTTTCTGAGACACTGAGCAGTGAAGTGAAAAGTCAATGGGATACTTAAATTCAGTAGTTATCAACTTTAATTTCCTTGGGCACTTAAATTTCAGCTTTTGTCATACTTCCTTAATCACGGGTGTTCATTGACGCATGCCACCACTGGTGGCCAAAACCTAAATTTATTTATGTGTCTGGACTCTAGAATTACCTTTCCTTGGAATTTACCCAACCACTTAAATTAAAAATAACCGACAGATATATAATATATGTATAATCGTGAATAATCAATGTATAATTATGCATATCGGTAAGAAAAAGTAAACAGTGAATCCAGTTAGCTATTTGTGTCAAAATCCCTAAATTTAAACAATTTCGAATTAGTGATTAAACTAGATTTAAATTATATGCAACATTGGTGTAAAAGAAATTTACACCATCAACAACATCTACAACTAAGCTGGCCTCCTTAAAATTAAAACTTGTTATCTTAAGAATTAAAACCAGTTATGTGCTAGAAAGGCAAATATTACGTAATGGTGTATACTTGAAACTCATAAAATAAATCCCTGACCAATGCAACTTTTCGATTTTCAACTTAACGCAGTCTTAAATTTGAGGAAGCTAATTAAATTTGCTTCTTAAAAAGAAAAAGGGTTTGGTAAAAGCTTTGTAGAAACTATGCTACACCATTTTTATTTTTTTTAAAATAATTTGGTACATTAAGCTCCCAATATGCGAGGATTCAAGGAAAATATTAAAAATCGGATAAGATTCTATTGTATTCAATCTTACTTTATATTTCTGCGAAAAGCAATTTCCACAATAAACAATGCAACACCATTCATGAAATTAAAAATATCATGACAAGATTCAACAGAGAGAGCAAAAGCATCTAACTTTGGTTTTGTACAAACATTGATTTGTAAAAAAATTCTGGAAAAATTAATACGTATTTAGAGAATAAAAAATAAGTCGTATATCAATTACAAATTTACATAATTAAAAATCTTTAAAATGCTAAAAAATCCATAAACAAATAAAAACTATCTGACTTCTCAATTAGTCTTGTTGAGTTGATTAGGCTCACTAATTGAGTTTTAAATGTTTAATTTGAGAATAATTCTGGTCGAGTTCAAAAGCTCAAACTATAACTCTTAATAGTTACCAAAACCTGATAAACTCAAGATTGAGTTCTAATATCATGGGGTAATGTCAAGATTTAATCAATTCAATAACTAGAAATATGTATATTTTTCATCAAAGATATAGTTAAGAAAATGTTTTATATAATTTATTTTTAGCTCAATTTCCCTTCCATATGTATAAAAATAATCTATTCACGACAAGAAGAGCCAAACTCATTCGTTTTACTTTAGTAAATCAGAACTTTGTATTACAAACAGCTCTGTGGATATCCATTATATTCTTGGAGTTTTTTTCATAGCAAGTTAAGAATAACCTGCCCAGAGCAAACGTTTTTTTTTTTTCAAACAGGAAATATTTATATTAAAAACTATGTAGTGTTCAGTACATTATTTTCATACTTTGTGTCACAAAGAACATATTGATTGCCTAAGCTTGCTAGAACATTGCAAGCATCATAAGATAGAAATTTAACAAAAGCATAATGTTCTTCTAGTTCATTTCCCACAAAAGATTCTAAGCGGTTGAACAAAATGTCTTTTCCCCTTTGTTTGAGTATTTGTTTTGCCAGTTGGTGAGCTACATTATTCCCTTGCCGGAATACGTGCTGGAGGGTTACTTCCTTCTGTTGGTGCATTAACAACCTGCATTCATTAACAATGTCATCATATAATCTGTTGCCTTGTTGTATAGAGCGAATTACCTCCGTGAAGTCTCTGTCTCTATTTCAAGAGGGAACATTCCCCATTCGTGTGTTGTTTGGAGTCCCTCTAGGAGAGCTTTGATTTCTGCTTGTAATGATCCGCTAGCATGTGTGAATTTTACAAAACCAACCACTCATTTTCCATTGACATTCCTGAATACACCTCCCAGACCAATGGTTACACTATTCAGTGATTAAAAAGAATTATTTGCCACAACGATTAAAAAATGATTAGTTTAATTTTTGTGCACTGAGATTACACCATTACGATAAGTTGCCTACAATAATATGTAACTATTCATCAAGTTCGATATGATAGTTTAAAAGATAGAGTAAATAATTAACCTACTTTTGTGGGTTAAAAACACTCATTAGTAATAGAAGTTTAACTTCTATTAGTAATAATGCCAAAAATATTTAATTTTACACTATCAACAGTATACTAACTACAAATAACTATAAATAACGATAAATAAATGTGGGATTAGTAACCTGATGAGTTGATTAAGAAAAAAAGACAAATACTTTTAACAACATAATTAAAACTTCGGATGAGCTAATACAACGAATTTCAATAAAAAATAAATTATGACAGCCTATTCGAATATGAAACCTCTAATCAGGGTTGAAATGATCTTATCATCTCACAATAACTATGAGTGGTAAATCCTTATTATTATTATTATTATTATTGATAAGTTTGGTAAATCTTTATTTGTACTAGCAGCAGAGTAAGGAGGAGCATATATATCAATTGAATAGCTATAATTTCTAGGGTTTATTGTGGGTCTTTTTAGTACTACATACATGGCATTGAGGTGGTAATACCAAGAAAGAAGACAAGCATCGCCACCGTGTCCTGCCGCCCTACTTTCCACTTTCGGCTAATTGCCTCCTCCTGCATGTTTGTGACCCTATATTACACTCCTTAGCTTTAATTTCTTTCTTTTTCACTCTCTTTAATTCATAGCTGCTCAATTGCCTACACATTCGGCTTTAATTCACTGTTTACCCTTCGGTCCTTGTCTCTCTCTCTCTTTATTATTTTTTTTTAAATATATAAAAACGATAATGCCTCCAGCTTCCTCTCCAGGTTGCTACTACTAGTATAAATAAATGCTAACAACTACTCCTCCCTTCACTTTAAGACTCTCTCCTTTGCATTTTCTTTCTTCTTTTCAATTCAACCACTAGTTATATATATATATATATATATATATATAGCATTTCCTATACATTAGTACTTATTTGCAATATGAAATGGATGCTTCAGATCCAAGTCTGAAAGGGAACAAGTGAAGCTGCCAGCATGATCTAAACTTGGCCAGTTAATTATACATAAATAAGAGAAATGGATATGGCCAAGGTTAGGTCATGCTTTGACAGCCTCACTCCTTCCTCTTTTGACGACTCAACGGATTCTGGAAAGCATAATATTAATTTTCTAAAAACTGAGTTTGACCGAGCAACAAGGAAATCACTGTTTAAGAGTAAGTAACATTGGCTTTTAATTTAATCATTATATATTCCTTTTGTTTAAGTTCTTTCTGCTCTCTTGTATCTTTGATACTTGTGGCTCTTGCTAATTGTTTATTTTTGCTAAACATGCTTTCTTTGCTCTTTCTGTTTGGATTGAGATGAACTGAAATAAAGCTATATAAGTAATAATGTGACACAACATAATGACCATATTATAAACTAGCTGAATTCAAGATTGAGGCTTTGTTATTGTTGCCGTTACATCTATTTTTGCCATGTGTTTTATATCCATTCTAACTCTTTTCTTTTTAATCTCTTGACTATCAGGGAGAAGGAAAGGTGGTCAAGGAGTAATTGAGTCTTTCACACCTACTCCTCTCCAGCTGCCCTGTCCACCCTTGGATCTCTCCCCTCAGTTTTCGCTCTAACATTTTGCGTGCAAATGTATAACCGAAGAATAATGGAGATCATACACTGAATAGAGTACTATTTTAAGTGTTTATTTTATGTTGATGAGACACAGATCGGACCTTTGGAATCAGAAAAGAGAAGAGTTATAAGGTAGAAGAGGATTTTACGGCAAGGACTAATTCCTAGGGATTATGGATTCAGAATTTATATTGGATTGAAAATGGAAGCTTGGTTCAATTTAGTAATTGTACTTATTTAAATAATACATGCATTAAAATTGTAAATAATTTTTACAAAAGAAGTACTGTCAACATTCCACAGTGGTGGAATGCGAAAGTTCAGGTTGGATTGAAAAGGCTATAGTTTCAGTTGAATTTGTTCCCTTTTATATGTATATTGATTATTCTCTTGTATACCCAAAAAACACACATAAACTCCTCATTTATGGAAATAGGATGAAGCATGCGGACAGGCCTTCTCACTAGTACTTCCTAGGTGATTTTTAAATATATAAATTTTAATTCAAAAATACTTTAAAGATTTTATATATTTAAATATACAATTAAAATTAAAATTCTTCGGGTTTAAATTTTTAACTCAATATGCATGCCTCCCAACTCAACTGCGGCTGTTTAACATCACTTTGTACAACAAATTTTCTCAGACCTAGTAGCCTCCAATATGTTGACTCAGCTTGGATTGACAATTTGATACCGAATTGTCCCTTATTAAAGATAAAGAAACATATATATATATATATATATATATATATATATATATATATATATAAATTACAATAATCCTCTTCTTTCAGTCCCTAAGTTCAACTGCCAAAGTTAACTTCTTTTAGCTCATTTTAATCACCGAAGTCACCCCCATCTTGCCCTCCTCATAAGTCATAAATGAGACAATGGGGGATGGGGAGGTGGGGGGGGGGGGGACAACAATATAATTTGCATTTATTTAATAACTGTGATGTCGGGGTTAGCTCGCGTACTTTGACTTATAATTTCACAAAGTATCTGATACTTTTTAGAAATATAAATATTTAGTAACTTTATTTATTTCTGTCTAACAGACGAAAAATGATTAAATTATTTTTCTCTTTCGCCAAATTAAGCTAAATAACAATAATAGTACTACAAAAAAAGAGTGAATGGAATAGTTTTAGCTAGTTGTTAGTGTCTGATTCAAAGCCAATAAGTCGGGAACTTTTGACACTTTGACAAAAGGCGGTGACACTGTATGCATTATCATTCTATTGGTTCCTATCTTTTCAAACCAACCAAAGGAATCAAAACAAGTTGAAAACAACATAATGTCAAAATCACTACTTTGGTCATCCTAAGGATCACATTACCACTTACACGTATACCTTTTTTTCACTACTCCATTTCTTTTATGTTTCTTTGTTATTGTAACGTGAAAACAGAAATTCAAGCATCAACTAATTCACATTTACACATTAATAACACCACCCCGATCTCTATAAATACAAAACATTAACCATGGGCATGGCTGTCTTTAGTAGGGATAAAGCTACAGTTGATGAAGATTGATCTGTTAAATATTTGTGGAAAAATCTATATTTACTTAGTTACAGGAAATGTATATTTTTAGCCGCTTTAGAAAAATAATAGCCGATAAAATATAGATAACTTTTGTGTATATGTGTATTATATACATATTTTATGCATTTTTTCGCTAGTGAATACAATGAGTTTCATCTAATAGGCTAGTTTTGTATTTTGCCATTAAATATTATTACTACTTTTTCTACATTTATACTAAATATTAGACACCATTTGTCGAAATTCCTAACTAGTTTTCTAGCAACTCTTTTCTTTTCTTTCTTTTTTTTTTTTTTTTTTTTGGTAACTGACCAGAAGAAATAGGTACAAAGAAGAGGGGGGGGTTTCCCACGAACAAACGGCATTTCCATATATGTTTATAAAGGTAACCCTCAATCCTCATTGAAGTAAACTGAAACCAAGATATATACTTTAAAGGAAATGGAACTTTATATTATCATCAAACATGAATATTTTGATATGATATCATGAGTCATCACGTGAAAGTCAATATTGATTGGTTTGAGGAGAAGTGAGAGCAGATCAGAGTGATGCTTTTAAAATCTGTCTTTTCTTGCTTTTTACCCCTACTTGTTAATATTAGAGGAAGAAAGAAGGCCATGCATTCCCAATTATTAATGGTCCCCTCCATGAACTTCCATGTGTTAATCTCTCGTTTTGCGTGGATTTTCAACTTGTTTAATTTTTGCCCTTATCTTTTCTACAAGTGGTGGAGGCAGACTGGGATACATGTGATCAGAGATGCAAACATGAAATGAGGGGTTCTTAAAGTCTAAGGAAATTTAAAAAGAACCAGACTTAAAAATTAATTGAGGAAAGTTAGTGTAGATTAATATGCTTCCCATCTTTTTATAAAGCGCTCAACATCTATATTAAGAATTCTTCGTTAATCACATGACAATTCAACATAATACCTGGGTAAATAAGAGATTTTGGATTTAGATATTATATAGTACAGAAATGTAGGATAAGACTATATACAACAGACCCTTATGGCCCGGCCTTTTCCCGAACTTCGCGCATAGCGGAAAATTAGTGCACCGAGCTGCCTTTTTTATAGTACTCAGACTGAAGTAAAGTACTTTTCGAGTTGTTCCCCGTCCAAAAAAAAGTATTTCTATATGTTTGGTCATGAAAAGAATTAAACTCATAGATAAGGAGCATATTAAGACATTATATATGATTAAATAATTATTAAAAGTATATTATCTCTAACAACTTATACTTTTAGGTAGAATAATATACATAATTATTACTCCAAGACTACATCATATATCTTCACAAAAGTTAAAGGCTTTAAAAGGGTGTGCATGGGATTGTGGCGTGGGCGTGATTATATTCAAGTTGTCTCACTATATGCTCTATGGCTATGCTAATAGTGGACCACTTCCATCTGTTTCTTTTGACACATGAATTATTACTGTTATGCATCTCTTCCACAAGCTTTTCAACTCCACCCTAATAAATTATCAGAATATCCCAAAGAGACTTTTAACCAAGATAGATCTCCAATTGCTGCATTTTCGATCTCCATTTCTCCCCCTTTATATACACTTGTTGCAGCTCCTACACTTTCAAGTAGAGGGTGAGGAAAAAACACATGGTTATAGGGTTTGAAGTTTGTGTTTGACGGATCGGATATATATTATATTGGATCGTGAACCACTAGTAGTTGAAGCTGCCAGCATGATCTAAACTTTTCTAGTTGCTCCGTTGAGGAAAGATCAGATCATGTGGCAGCATCACCTGTTGATGGTTTCCCGAAGTTTTGCATAATCGTGGTATTCGAGCAGTTTAATTAAGCGCACCTCGACTACTTCATCAGGTTCCTCTTACCTCTCATTAGTATAGATATTGAGTAACTATATTTACCAAATTCAGGTAGATCGGAATCATTAGGTTACTAGTTTGGAATTTGGAAACAAGGTCAACGGATTTAATTAATTTAGTCATTTTTTTCTTGCATTTTCATGTTAAGGTAAATAACCAAATATTTATTTGTTGATTACTAGGTATAGCATTAATTTTTCTTTCACACGTCAAACATATGCTTGGGAATCTTAGATTTCGATGCATGAAATTAAAGTAACTGTTGGAGTTCTTAGTAACAGAAATTCGTCTGTTTAGACTTAGTCGCTGCTTTTGAGATCCCTTTTAATCCAAGATTAAAAAATTCTTTCTCTTCATCATCAAATTCTTTAATTAATTTGGTTTTCATGCTTTAATATAGGTAGTTGTTATTGCTACTGATTAATCGGCTAATTAATCGCATTGATCTTTCGTTTTTCGAGTACAGTGGTCAGTGCATGTCCCTATCAGGCATAATTTATTTGTCCAGTAATCTTTCGAGGATGAATTCAAAAAAAAAAAAAAAAAAAAAAAAAAAAAAAAAACAGGGCTGAAGTAACGAAAACAGAAAAGAAATATTGGCATTTAATTCATCTTTTGGATAATTTTATTTACTCGTAGGAACATAGACATAGCTGAAGCCTTATAACAAGCAAAATTAAAACTACTTGAAAACGAGGGGGAGTCTATGTTTGCTAGCTGAGGCCAATGAAGCTAGCTAGTTATATTAGGGGAATAAATATACAAAGAAACCATAAACTTTTGGTTGTCCAAGTCCAGAAAAGTTCAGATGACCAGAAAAATTTATGTTACGTTTATACAAAATATATTAATGATAAATAATATGACATGTGTTTTTAATATACACTTTTATCGACTTAATCATATATTCTAGGTTACCCGTTAATGTATTAAATAGAGTTATCTGTAATTAATTTTTAAGTGACCTATTTATCTATATATTTTATATATCTATAGAATTTAAACTCTAAATTTTATCCATTGCCGAACAATATCTTAATTCTTTCCTTCTCCTTTTCTTCTTTTATTTTCCTTGGGAAGAGAATTTAAGTGGGCATCAGTTCGAGTTCTACCTTCTAACAATACATACATTTCTTCTTGATTTGGTTGCTCGTAAACCAAAAAAATTGAATGATAGCGACGCTACTTATCTGGACTTTGTCAGGACGAGGTGATGAAGATAAGAAGGCAGGTTTTGTTGCTGCTTTTCTAATATTTGATTTAGTACTGGCATAACCTGCATATCTAACTAGGATCCCTTTCACTTGGAAACTTAAATGATGTCACTTTATGAATATCACCATGATACCGAATCAGCGGCGGAGCTAGTTAGAAGAAAATGGTTCATTTGAAATCTCCTGTTAAAAAGTTGTAATACATGCGCATGAATAGGATATTTGTTGAAGATAAAAAGCTCATCAATTCACAGAAAAAGAATGATTTACAGAAGAAGGATGAAGAAGAAAAAAGGGCGAAGAAGTCGAAGTGTGGAAGCCTGGGTTCGACTTAGAGACTTCGGACATTACTATGTAATGTCCTCACCCTTATGTCTCTAAATGTGTAGGTAAATTCCTATACGTGTCAGCATCACACAGCACAAGATTAAATGATGAAGAATAGATCTCAACCGTTTGTTTTTGCTGAGTTGGTAAATAATAGAAGCTTCCTACACATGATGAGCACATGTAAGAGAATAAAAAACTGTTAGGAGGTTATACATGTAAGCAATAATAATAGTACAAGTGTATAGGAATATTCTTTTATTTTTCATTTATCTTAGAAGCAGAATACTTGTATAAATAGGGCTGTGTACAGTGAATGCAATTAGAGAAAAATTTCACAAATCACTCTATCTTTCTTTCATGGTATCAGAGCATCAGTAGCTCGATCCATTCATAATTTTCTCTCAATATTCAATCATCATTCTTCTCATCTTCACATCTGTTCTTCAGCAATGACAGGAATAGAAGTAACACATACTCTCACTGCACTGGATCTACCAGCAGTGGGAGCACCCCTGATTCCAATCACCCTTACTATCTACATTCTTCTGATGCTCCAGGGATGTCTCTAGTTAGCTCACCATTTGTTGGAAGAGGTTTTCCAGGCTGGAGAAGATCTGTACTAATTGCAATTTCAGCCAAGAACAAGCTTGGTTTTATCAATGGAACTTGTGGTGAACCAGCTTTGAATGCTACAGAACACTCACAATGGAGCAGGTGCAACGACATAGTGACCTCTTGGTTGCTGAATTCACTCACCAAGGAGATAGGAGACAATGTGATTTATTCTAGAACTGCAAAGGATCTCTGGAGCAGCCTTGAGCACAGGTTTGGCCAATCGAGTGGAGAAAAGCTCTATCACCTACAGAAGGAGATCTCAAAGTTAGCTCAAGGAAATAGCAGCATAGCAGGGTATTTTACAACTCTAAAAAGACTTTGGGATGAGTTGTATTCTCTCAACTCACATATGGGGTGCACTTGTGATTGTACATGTGATGGAAAGAAGAAAATTACAAAGTTCATGGAAGATCAAAGAGTAATTCAATTCTTTATGGGATTGAATGATGTTTATGCTTAAGCACGAGGAAACATACTCATGATGAGTCCACTCCTTGGTATTGATTAGTCCTATTCTCTACTGTTGCAGGATGAGAACCAATGGGAAATATACATGAATCCTTCATACCCCATTGATGCTGCATCATTCATGGTGGGAACACAGAACAAAACCCCCAGAGAAACAATCGGATCCAAAGAAATTGGAATCCACAACAGAAGCAAGGGAACACACAGCAAAAATTCAAGGCAAAGAAGACTAGGTAAAACCCAAATGTTACATGTTCTTACTGCATGAGGACAGGCCACGCCAGGGCAGACTGCTACAGGCTCAATGGGTTTCCTGATGACTTCCAATTTACCAAGTCACACATCTCTCAAGGAGCAGTGAAGGGCAATGCACTGGTTCCAACAACAGAAATTGATGGACAAACAAATGGATGCACTGAAGGAAATTCAAGCAATCAGAATCATTTTTTCAGCAAGGAGCAAGTCTCTAAGCTAGTAAACATAATCAAGCAAGTGCAGATTGGAAATGCAGGAACAGAGATCAATGCTAATGCAGTAGCTCATACTCTGGAACATGCCTAGTTGTTTTTAACACTAACACCTGGATTATTGACTCAGGTGCCTTTAAGCACATGTGTTTTGACTCAAAATCATTCTTAGAACTCTGTCCATTACCTATAACTTTGCACAAAAGTTTGCCTAACTCATTTCAATTGTTTATTACACATATAGGAAGGGTAAGCATTCAGCCAGATATGATTCTGGAAAAGGGTTCTATATGTCCCTTCTATTAATCCGATTTCCAACAAATACCTGTTGCAGGTCCCTTTAATGAGGAGGGACAAGCTTTTGGTGAAGTGAGGGATGGTCTATACCTGCTCCAGCCTAGTAGTTTAGAGTCTAGGATCTTGTTCAAACAAAATGTAGTTTCAATTCCAAAAGGAAGTAATTACAGTCTATTTTCTACTAGTGTTCCTTTTTCAGCACCTGAGTTTGCTAATGCTATATCTAATGTACGAGAATGGCATGTCAGATTGGGGCACTTGCCCTTTGCAGCAATGAAAAATCTCAGTTTCATTCATTTTCCTTCAAATTTTGATTATGTGTGTGATGTATGTCCTCAAGCCAGGCAAACTAGGCTACCTTTCCCAATTAATCAAATCAGATCTTCAAGCATATTTGATTTTATTCATATAGACACTTGGGGACCTTTTAAGACTAGTACATACAATGGATACAAATACTTCTTAACCATAGTTGATGATTTCAGTAGAGCAACTTGGACCTTCCTCTTGAGTACTAAAACTAATGCATTTTCAGTTTTGAAGTCTTTTCTTACTATGGTGGAAAGGCAATTAACAAGAAGGTAAAGAAGCTAAGATCTGACAATGCTTTGTAATTGGGGAAGGGGACACAAGAATCTACATTTCTGCATTCACAGGGTATACAACATGAAACATCTTGTGTAGCTACTCCACAACAAAATGGTGTTGTGGAGAGGAAACATAGGAATCTTTTAAATTGCAAGGGGTTTATTATTTCAATCAAGAGTCCCTATTCAATATTGGGGGAATTTATATTGACTGCCACATATCTAATAAATAGATTTCCTTCAAAACTTCTGAAAGGGCAGTCACCATATGAAGTACTGTTTAAGAAGCCACCCAAGTATGATTGTCTAAGATCTTTTGGATGCTTATGTTATGCTTCCACTCTAGCTCAAAATAGAGGAAAGTTTGAACCAAGAGCTAAGAGTTGTGTGTTTCTAGGTTACCCTCACAATCAAAAGGGGTATAAAGTTTTGGATATGGATAGTGGGAAAGTTTTTGTTTCCAGAGATGTCAAGTTTTATGAGCATTATTTTCCCTTCATCACATCAGTCTCACCATCTTATTTTCCTTTCTATCCTGCCCCTGCCGCCCAAGTAGATTCAACAAACAATGTGCTTGTTGATTCTACAACAGAACCACCTACTACTTTCACTCAGCCACCTAACACAAATCACTCAGACTCTCCTGCTAACTCCTATCACTATGTCTAGAACCAATTCATACACTAGTGCTATTCCATTCTCTACTAATCGACAGTCTCCTTTTCATTCTGCAGTTCCAAGTTTGTCTAAGAGTCCTATTCCCACTCCACCTCCTCCACTCAGAAAGTCAGAAAGGATTACTCAGAAGCCCACATATTTGAATGACTATGTCTGCAACACTATCATTCTTTTTGACCTTACCTTTTCTTGTTTCATTCAACCCTCCAAGTCTAGTGTGTTTTCTTTTTGTGCTCTTTCACTCAACAAACCAAAAGGTTCTTCAAACATTGTCTACTATTTCAGAACCAAATAGTTATGCTCAAGCATCTACACATCTAGGTTGGAGGAAAGCTATGGAAGCAGAAATTGAGGAACTTGAACTTAATCACACTTGGGACATTGTGGACTTGCCACAGGGAAAGAGAGCTTTGCCTTGCAAGTGGATATATAAAGTGAAACACAATTCTGATGGAACAATGGAGAGATTAAAAGCAAGGTTAGTAGTGTGAGGGGACATTCAAAGGGAAGGCATAGACTATTTTGAAATATTTTCACCAGTGGTTAAAGTGACTACCATATGATGTCTTTTAATAGTGGCAATAAAGAAAGGTTGGAACGTTTCTCAATTAGATGTTAACAATGCTTTCATACATGGGGACTTACAGGAAGAAGTGTACATGAGATTTCCTACGGGACTTCTTCCCCCTAAGCCTAATCAAGACTGTCTATTAAGGAAGTCCCTCTATGGATTGAAGCAAGCATCACGACAATGGTATTCTAGGCTTGTCGGAGCTCTGAGTTTCAAAGGCTACTCCAGTTCTCTCAATGACTATTCCCTATTCTATAAACAGAAAGATGGCCTAATTTCCATTTTAGCTGTTTATGTAGATGATATACTACTTACAGGCAATGACACAAAGGAAATTGATCACATTTGCACTTTTCTCAACACATAATTCAAAGTCAAGCATTTAGGTGACATACACTATTTTTTGGGCATGGAAATTTTAAGGGAAAAGCAGGGTTTCATCATCAGTCAGAGAGAATTTACCTCAGAATTGCTGCAGGAGTTCGATTGCTCAGGAGCAGCAGTGTCTTCTCCTCTGGATCCATACTGCAAACTACAGGCAGACCAAGGGACACCATTAGAGGATCCAACTATTTATCGACATTTAGTTGGTAAATTGAACTACCTAACGAACACAAGACCAGACCTTTGTTTCGCTGTCTTGTGTTTGAGTCAGTACATGCAAAGACCATGGTCTTCACATTTTTCAGCGGCTTTGCGTGTCTTTAGAAATCTGAGAACAGATCCTTCCCAAGGGATCTTCTTATCTGCTGATCCTTCTTTTGATTTGATTGCCTTTTGTTATGCCGATTGGGCGGCGTGTAGAGATTCCCGTCGTTCAGTAAGCGGATTATTTATCACTCATGGTGGTGCTCCAATCTCTTGGAAATTGAAGAAACAAATCTCCATTTCTTTATCCTCAGTAGAAACGGAATACATGTCTACGAGGAGGGTGACTGCAGAAATCACTTGGTTGGTCCGTTTGCTTGCCGATCTATCCGCACCCCCACTTTACCAGTGCCTGTTCACTCAGATAGCCAGGCCGCCATTCACATTGCTCGCCACCCCGTTTTCCATGAACGGACTAAGCACATCGAGCTGGACTGCCATTTCGTCCATCAACAGTTCCTTTCTGGGCTAATCTCCCTCTCCTTTTTTCCATCGGAGTATCAGCTAGCAGATCTATTCACCAAACCCTTATCTAGGGCTTCCCACCGCCACATTTTGACCAAGTTGGGGGTCATTCTCTCCCCACCAACTTGAGGGGGGATGTTGAAGATAAAAAGCTCATCAATTCATAGAAGAAGGATGATTTACAGAAGAAGGATGAAGAAGAAGAATGAGCGAAGAAGTCGAAGTGTGGAAGCTTGGGTTCGACTTAGAGACTTCGGACATTACTATGTAATGTCCTCACCCTTATGTCTCTAAATGTGTAGGTAAATTCCTACACGTGTCAGCATCACACAGCACAAGATTAATTGATGAGGAATAGATCTCAACCGTTTGTTTTCGTTGAGTTGGTAAATAATAGAAGCTTCCTACACATGATGAGGACATGTAGGAGAATAAAAATATGTTAGGAGGTTATACATGTAAGCAATAAGAATAGTACAAGTGTATAGGAATATTCTTTTATTTTTCATTTATCTTAGAAGCAGAAATACTTGTATAAATAGGGTCGTGTACAGTGAATACAATTAGAGGAAAATTTCACAAATCACTCTATCTTTCTTTCAATATTCTTGACTTCTATATGAGATGTTGAATTCCACATGAAAAAAAATCACAGAAAGGTAACAAAGGTGTTCAAAATTGCTTTAAATCTCAAGTATGACATTTTAGATATCTTATATATATATACAAAATTCTAAGTCTACCACTGTACGGAACGTAACCTGGAGGTTATTTGATATCACATCATAGTGGACACAATTGGCAGGAATTAGGACGAAGGATCCCTTTCGATTTGAAAAGTTTGTGACAACTAATAATTCGCTACTGAGCTCAAAGAGGCACCGTTTCCTGTCTCTTTTTGACGAGTGAAAGAGGCAATTTCAATTCCATCTGCTTAAATATATGGTCCATTTCCCTCAAATCTCTCAAATACACATATATACCTTCAAAGTAGTGCATGAGCATCACCAAGTATTTTTCATAGTTTTCTATAATTTTTAATCAATTTATTCCTGCATTTTTATATAAATAATTATTAATTGAATCATAAATAATTTTATTATGATTCATTATTTAATTTTTCATCATTTATATCCATATTGAGCTTTAAATATTTTTATATATACTTATTTTGCATCCTTAGGCTAAAATTGCATATTTTTGCAGTAATAGCTCTCATATATATATATATATATATATATATATATATATATATATATATATATATATATGCATAATTACATTATTTACACAAAAATGACTTTTTACATTTTTATAATGTTTAATAATTATTTTAATCATTTTTATGCACAAGTGATATTTTGTTATTTACTAATTATTTTTTATAAATTATTTATTTATTAAATTGGGTATTTAAAATATAGCCCCCTAAAACCCCTATTTCGGACCTAGCCCAATTACCTAGACTACCCAATTTACCCAGCCCAATACACCAGCCCACATCAAATACCCAATACCCAGACCCATACCCATTTAAAACCCCGACCCACTTCCCCTTTTAAATCACAGCCATTGATCTCTGAAGATCAACAGCTCATATCACCTCACCCCTTTTAATTATACCCATCCACCCAAACCCTAACCACTTTACCCCAACCTGTCGTCTCTATACACTCCCTCTCCTTCATCTTCTTCCTCTCAAAATCCTAGCGCCGTCAGGCAAACCTCCCTGATTCTAAACCCAAAAATGGAAACAATCCATGACTCCTTACCTTATTTGGCCCCTTATCCTTACTAGCTACCTGATTTTGGCATTTCCTAATGGCTTGCCTAAAATGACAAGCAGATCTTAAGAGATTCAAACCAAATCTGGTTAAAATCTTTGACCTCTTTCCATCCGTGTTCGTTCTCGTTTCTTTATGGTATGATTCTATGAGATTCTTCGCGATTTTCTGCTTACCCTGAAACTAGGGTTCAGATCTTTCTAGATCTAATCTGGTTCTTGATTCTTTAATTATTTTTCCCTTAATCTTTCCGTCTATATGTCTCTGTGCATCATATTATAACTCTCTTCGTTAATTTGTGACTGATTTTTACTTACCCTAAATTAGGGACTTTTGATTCTGCAAAATCAAACCAAATCTGTTTGATTCTTTAATTATTGTGTTAAAATCTCTGTCTATATGCATATATGCATCTCTTTTCTTCTTATTACTGCCGATTTTGTATATTTTACCTAAAACTAGGGTTTGAGATTTTTACTCTTTCTTTTCTTGCATGGTACTGATATTTTCCTTGTTTCGTTCA